TAAGTAACCAGTTTTAACGTACTACAGAGTTTTCCTTGTAAACCTTTCATTTCATCTTTACAATATATACACTTGTACATTTCTACATACATACTATATATATATTTCTACTAATTTATATAAATAAGTGACACATTTTTAACATTTTTTTTTACTTCATTCCTTCCCATAAGAACCGATACATATATACACACACGCACAACACATATATGTAATAATAATTGGAAAAATGGCAAAGAAGTTAGTGTCCCATTAATATTTAGCGAGTGTTCAATCAATTAACATGTTAATTGAATAATTTCATGAACATCACCTTATCGCAAAGGATGTCTATCACGCATCCTCGAACATCTAGCATTTTTATTTCTATGGTGTTATTCTCCTTCTTCTTCTTCTCCTTCTTTTTCTTCTTTTTTCTTATAATTATTGTTATCTTTGTTTTTTCCTTTTAATAATAACTGTCAGTGGCATGAGCTTGAAGCACCCCAAGCTTGAAGAAATCAGTCGGTTGTGTTCAAACGAATACATACATGTACGAGAATTATATTTTATATATTATTTATACATAAATGTATGCGGGTGCGTGCGCAAGTGGTGTCTTTTTTCTTTTATCTAATAATGATTTGAAATTTATAATTAGACTTCCGCGTGCTTCTTCTTGTTCTTTAAACAATTAGTCAGACAGCAGGTATCGTTGATCTTTGAAGAGTTTAACGTCTCACTTGTGATCTCTCACCGAACTGGTTTCTCCAAGTGAGATCAAGGTTTCTAACGTAACAGCGACAGACATTCTCCATCTTTCTTATTCTCTTCCTATGTATATATATAAAAAGATAGATCTTTTTTTATTAAAGAAATCGATTATTTTGTCGAATACCTGGTGTTGTTACATCATGGCGATTAGTTTCACGAATCCTTTTTACGTTTCCAATTATTTTTCTTCATAACTTTTTCTTTCTTTTTATTTTACTTAATCATGGGTAGAAATGATTAAATCGATCTTTCAGACACAATCTTTAGATTGTCTAGAAAAAGAAATGCCGACCTTTTTTTTCTTATTTTTCATTATTCGCAACAAAAAATGTATCGAAACGTTTATCGAAATAACATTTAGGTACTCATATTATACTTCTGTGTCATTGTTTTCTATTGTAATTTTAATCTTGTAGGTGTTTTTTATGCGAATGCAGATAGAAGAATTGTATCTTCTTTATTTTGTTTTTTTTTTTACTGATTTTAAATTATTCGTCTTTTGCGTGGGATTTTTAGTTACTTGATTTTTTGTTTCTGTGAATTTAATTACACAGGTAGAAATAATAATTATGTTAATTATTCATTAAAAAAAGAAGGTCGAATAATTTGGTAATGAATTCCTCTGCATTTTTATTTAATTAATTGAATATATATATATATATATATATATATAGTTATAGAGATAATTGCGTAGACAATTCATTCATAAAACAAGGTTAAATTTGTGATCAATCTACGTTAGAATCATTCGTGTTCCAAAAGTGGGCTATAAAAATGTTTCAAAGTGTACTTATTCCTTATTATACTTTGTAATTGTTCTCCTCTTGTACAACTATAAATATATATTTTTTTAATTTTCTTCTACTTCTTCTTCTTCTTATTATTAATATTATTATTATTATTATTATTATTTAGAGGAGAGTAAAAAAAAACGAAGATTACAGTTTCAGGTTGGTGCGATCGTAATTACAGTAATTAACGTCTATCGCTTGTAAAAATCTCGAATCGGTGCTAACGATTCGTTCCTTCTTCGCGTATATTTATTTTTCCTCCTTCTTCTTATTCTTTCTACCACTAAAACATGCTTGTGTTGTTTTACTTTGTCCTCGTATTTCCCAGAAGTTGTAAAACAAGATTGTCACACACAGTTCGACGACGACGACGACGACGACGACGACGAAGACGAAGAAGACGACGACAAAACGGTTCGTAACATTGTTTTCTTCATTTTTCTTACGTAATGGCTGATCTAATCTCACGTTGGTAACACACGCCTCTTTAATATCATCTAATACCAGTCTGTGTATTAACTTGGACTATATCGAGATATAATTTCATTTTAAATGAAATGTTTACAAGCGAGCATTCATGTTTTCATGATTTTTCCCATTTTAAACGTCACCAAGTTATGCAATAAGTATTTCTTATTCTCGTGTACTAAGTTGACAAAAAAACCTACAAAATACAAAATATTTCATAAAGTTTGGTTCAATAATTCCAAAGTTCATTGGAAACTCAAGTATCAATGTGATACTGAATTTTGATATTTAAAGAAGATTATACTGTATCTATTAGGAACCACGGATGTAAATTACTTATCAAACCTGGAAATAATGTTGGAGTTAAGAAAGTGTTCTTCGTGTTAATAATAATATGTTAACGAACATGTGTTATGAAAAATTGTTATGAATAATTTATATATATATATACTTTTTTTTATAACATGTATAACATTTATATATACATATGTATACTTGTTGTGTAATTCATGAATTAAAATGATAATTAGAAGCGAAACAAATTCTTCTGATCTTTGATGAATCTTACAATATCATGAGCATTGAAATATAAATGAATTGTATATGTGAATTTTCTGTTTTTCTTCCTTTGAATGAATAAACATATATGTATTTTAAACATTGAAGGAATAATTTGTGCTACATCTATTTTCTTTTATAGTTCTAGGTTTTCTAATAACCATAGTTTTATATATATATATAATAATAATAATAATTATTATTATTATTATAAAGGAACATGTGAAGTATACACCTACATAAAGAAGAAAGAAAGAAAGAAAGAAAAAAAATTACGGAAGAGAAGAGCATATCCTCCATATTACTCTTATTATACTTGCACAGTATTATATCGTAGACAAAGTGTTTCGTAAAGCCTTTGAGATGTCTTCCTGAAGAAAATAAGAGAGAGAGAGAGAGAGAGAAATAGTTCAGTTTCCTTTCACCTTTTTTTTAAAATAGTTAATTAGAACACACTTCCGTTGGTTCATCGTGAAATTGATCTTCTTTTTTTTTTTTTTTAATGGATAATTATTTACAAAAATAACAATAAATTTAAACTCGTTCATTTATTTGTATTATTTCATGAGATATAGATTTGTAGTAATATCATTGTGTAGATTCGTATTTTAATTGAGAATCAGTACGAATCATATCCGGGCAGTATAACGGTACGTTTTTATGATTACCACCACGTCAGCCTGAAACAATCGTCATGATGATCAGCACACACAAACTTGAACCTACTCGAATTTATTTCTATCTTATCTTACCTTTTTTTTCCTTTCGAATAGATACAAATATTCTTATATGAGTAATAATTAATAACATTATATCGTGATATTATTTTACAGAAAAAAAAAATATTAATAAAATATTTTTCACATGTGATCCAATTGATGATATTATGTATTATATAATAATTATATTAAAATATATTTTATTATATATTATAAATAAAAGATATGTTTTAATCTAAATAATAATATTAATAATATTGATAATTGATAAGCAGATTATAAAGGAAGGAAGGAAGGAAGTAAAGAATGGTGGGATATAATTTATAACATTGTGGGCGTTTTCCAAGTTCTATTCTTCCGTGATCGATGATATCTTTGACTTCTAATAATCGCCTTCCATTCATCTTTGTAAAGCGTTTATTATTAGCCAACTTGAATTGTAACTATAGACAACCAGCCAGTCTTTCGATATTTCTTCTTCTATATATACACATACATATATATACTTGAGATGCATAGAAAGGTGCACGTGTGTGTATGCATACTTTGTGTTATGTATCGACACTTTATTGTCGAGAATCAGGATCATCGAAAGGCAAAAAAACGATTAGTTTTTTGAATGCGACAAGAACACAACTTCAGTGATTCTCATTATACTTACTAAAGTCATGAAAATTAAATTCAATCGTTTTATGTTCCTCTATCACGAACACGCGATTCATTTTTATAAAATTTAATTATCTAAATTGAAAAATTACAATTTATAATATGACAACTCAAAGTGTTTTTCTTTAAGTTATTTCATGTTAAAAAAAAAAAAAACGAAAGATAAATATAAGAAATTTCCATTCCATTTATGTTTGTCTAATTAAGTTTATTTAAATTAAGTTAAAAAATCCTTAATTACGTACCCATCGTTGTATAACTGTATTTTTACTTCAGTAAGAATAATTTTTTTATTTATTTCTTTTTTTTCTTCCTTTCTCTTCTCAAATGATTTATTAACAAGCATTACACATTGCATATACATACATATATATATATATATAAAAAAAAAAGATTGCATCGTGACGTAATATAAGAAAGAGCAAAAGAAGCTGGGATGAGAAGAATATGAGTTTAGAAATTGATTGAGAAACGCTGAAGTAGGAAGCACAAAGTATAGAAGGAAGGATCTTTTAGGTTAGGATAGATGTGAAAATGATTTACTTGGATTAGAAATTGAGGTGAAAATGTTTTATCTTCTATTTCAAGTCTTCCTTTTTCTTTATCATCTTTCATATCGTGATATTATAAAAGATGATCACGTTTAGTATTATAAAAGTTATGATACTTTCGAGACTTATACACTAATCTCCCAATCGATTCGTTACTTTATTAATCATTTTCAACATCGATAAAAAAAGGAAAGCAATGAAGAGGAAAAATTTGTTTCCATTTTTCTTCTTGTTTTTTTTGCTTTTTCCATTATAGAAACCAATTGATTCTCCGAACTGAAATAAATATTACGGTTATTATAGATCGAAGTTTTAGATATAACTATCGATTAATATCGAAGAAGAAAGCGATATCGTTTATTTCTTCCTTACCTATATTATTCGTAATATTAAATTTATCGCACTTTCTAATTATATTAGAAATATGCGTGTGTATGCACGTTATTATCTTTATCCTCATTGTTGCATTTATTTCTTTCTCTTTTTTGTTTCAGGTAAGACAACTCGAATCCCGGTTGCCTAAGCTGATTTTAATCGTGAGTAAATAATAAAAAATTAAAAACAAAAAAGAAACAAACTATTTAAGAAACGATCATTTTTAATTATAATAATAATAATAATAATAATAATAAAAAGAAAGAGGGTCACAGTTGTGACGCGTATTTGGTATGCCGTTTTGGTCCTAAGTCGGTTTGTGTTGTAGAAAGTCGATCGTTCGTTCGTTCGTTCGTTCGTTCGTTCGTTTGTTCGTTATGCGATTGCAGTAGGTCGGTCGTTACCCCCAAAAGTGATTATCGCTCATGGAAACAAGAATTTGCACGTCTTCTTTGTGATACCACATAGGAGGTTCATGGTATCAAATCTATCGGGAATGACTTGTCTTCGAATTATAACCGCAGCAAATTTGAAAAACGTTGTTTCCAGAAAAATGCATTTAAAATCAAAGTTACTGATTGCATCGTTATAAATCACCAAATATTAGATGTATACTCTTGAAATTTTACTATGTTCTTTTTAAAGGTGTAGACTATCGAAATTTCAGGCTAGTGGTGGTGCCCCTTTAATTATGTTTTATCGCATACGAAAATTGCATAATTTTCTGGACGTTTGACCTTACGCATTTTAATTTTTCATTAAAAATTGCATTTGATAATTTGTTCTTTTTCTTCTTCTTCTTCTTCTTCGTCTTCGTCTTCGTCTTCGTCTTTTTTTCAATGAAAATTGCGTTGTTTAATCTTAAAATCTTATCTAAACTTTCGAGTCTTCTCATTTCGTAACTCGCAATTATTTGCTTCCATATATTCGTAAACTTCTTCAAGGTCTCTCTCGTGATCTTAAAAGCACTCGAGGCACAATCGTTAACACACCGTGTCTGATTTATGTTCTGATGTTTGGTTCGGTGACGTAGTTGAAGTGACTTTTACATGATTCAAGGTAATGAACTCCTCTCTATCACCTAAAGACATTTAAGCATATTTTAAGCATATTTTAAGCATATTTTAAGCATATTTCTTTCATTCGTCATAGATAAAACGTACGGATTAGAAATTAGTTGGATCAATCTTGCTATAAAATATACGTCGTAGCAAATGTCAATTCCAAGTAAACGCAAACTTCATACGGGGATACAAGAGGTTAATTTTTATTTTATTATTACGATTTATATACGAAGAGGATTTAGTTACAAGTATGATTAGATGTTGTACGGTTTGGATTACAACGAAGATATGTACGGCAATACGCGTATAGAATATTAGTAATGTAATGCGATAATATATCGTGCAGGGGGATCATTTTCTCACAATCAAACTCGTGTCGATAGCTGATCGATTCCATGTTTCTTTGATTATTAATTGCGCGTCTCTCTTGCTAACTATTTTCCTACGAATTACATAATTACTAATAAACGGTATTAGCATTATCTTTTTTTGTTTTTTGGTTTTTTTTGTTTTTTTTTTCACATTTACATATGACATAACTAAGTTTTATAAGAAAGCCACACACACACACACACACACAGCATACCCTCTAGTTTGTTTATGACCAAATATAATTAAAAAAAAAAATATATTCTCGTTCACACTATATATAGTCGTAAGAAATAATCCATATGAATAATTTGGATAATATATTTAGAATGAAACTAGTGGGAATGAAAATGATTTCAAGATTATTAAGACATCGACACCCGTATCCTCGTGTGCGAGAGTAGTTCACCCACGGCTGCAGCAGGGAGAGGGAAGAGGAGTTTCAAATTTCCCTCATCGAGGTGATATGAAAAAAAATGTCATTTATATTCGGTTACACATTTCACATGGTTAGAAAATCCGTGACTGGGTAGATCTTGAAAGTAGTTCTTTTCCGTGTGACTCACAGCCAACCATTCTTGCTTACAATTAAGTAAGCAAAGTAGTTAAGTCCACAAAGTATACCTTGAACCGATCAATGTTTTCAATTCTCCTCGATATATATCTTTGTTTATAATATAATCGTTACTTTTTTTATCTCCTATATTTCTTTTATTTATTTATTTTTTTGTTAAATAGGAACATTAATAAATTTGTGTCTTTAGAAAGCTTGCAAGTATCGTCGTTGTCGGAGAAGCCAAAGAAAAAACAAAATTTGCCTTATCTACGCGTCCGACTTATTGATCTCAATGTAACACTTTGTAGTTTCATTTTTGTAATCTTATACAAAAGAAAGAAAGAAAGAAAAAAAAACAACATACATATGCATCTAAAGTGAAAGTAACCAACATTCATTTTTATTACGTTTAAAAGTACATTCTAATTGAGAAAAATATGATAAATAAATTTCTGTTATTATAAAATACTGATGTAACAAGACGCAAATTAATTTATAATAAAAAAAAAAAAAAATAAAAAAATAAAAATGAAATTACGTGACACCGCAAAATGTGACGTATTTCAAAGTTTCAAAAAGGTAAAAATTATTTATTGCGTTTGCGTGGTGGTATAATCGAAACGTCGAATTCAGAAAAGGAAAAATGACAATCGTGCATCCTCCGGAAGCGGATGCACGTCGGCACGCTTGGCTAGCCTTACCCCCTACCCCCTACCCCCTACTACCCCTCACCTCTCCTCTTGGCTCCTTTTCTCATTGTGAAAACGACTTTACCGGTTCGTTCGTTAGTAGTGTGTTGCATAAAATACTCCGGGCACGAGTTTGCTTACATTTCATACACACATATGCGCATATGTTTGTATGAACGTAATGCGTGTAATGCGTGTAATGCGTGTAATGCGTATGGTGGATATGGGTGTGTGTGTGTGTAGGTAGAACGTGAACGGTCAATTTCAAAGTCGCGTTCACTCGAACGATTCGCATGCATTTACGTGCGTGCACGCAACATAGAGAAAGATAAAGATAAAGATAGATAAATAGAAGAGTTAATAGAAAACGAGTTGTGTATCGAGAAGAAACCATCATTGAAACACGTTCAGAGTCCGACGACTCACTCTTGTACCGGTTCCGGTAATGTTCCGTACATGTCTCTATTGATTAACATTAACGTAAAAGGGATTTTACGTGTGTATTTAATGAAATTGAAAAATAAAATAGAGCTACAGATGTATTATTATGTATTGTAAAGAAAACAAAATGATGAAGAATTGTTTTTTTCTTTTTTCTTTTTTTTTGTTATACTTCACGTGTTATAGATTTTAACGGTCTTACGGAACGTTGCTTGAAAGATTATTAACACCTTCCGTGTTCAACGTTGGCGAACGATCTTTTTTTTTTTTACAATGTGATTATTGGATAGCAATGAAAGAAATTTATTTATTTATCGTTTCTTCCGCGTGCGTTATTGAAGAATTATTTTTACTTTTTTTTTTCTTGTCAATTATTTTATCTTAGATTTAAGATTAACATTAGATATACCAGACCAGTCAAAATGATTTTAATTCCAAATTTCTACTTCATGTAATATTTCATTTCTGTAAATAATTAAGCGTTTTGTTGTTATTTAAAAATGAGACAAAAAATATGAAATTCTTGTTAACGTTTTACATTGAAATTTCATTTGATTGGTAGATGAAAATATTTCTAATCGATAATACGAAGAAGAATAATGTGTGCATAAATATTGAATTTGAAGTTTACATTTCGGTTCCCTTTCGATCGCGTGTATGAGTGAAACAGAAAAAGAAAAAGACAAAGACAAAGATAATATTAATGCGGTAAACAGGAAGAACAAACGGTACGCCATTTTTCCGCAAAATGGAACGAAATTAAACGAAGATAGAATGATGACACGCGAGGTAGCAGTTTCTTAAGCTATTCGATTACCGTTAGGAAGAAAGAATAATTCTCATTGTTGTAATATCATCCGTAAAAGTACATCTTTTTTTCCACGATACTTATGTGAAAACACTGAGGCCGCGTCTAGATTTTTCAAGATCCCCCCCCCCTCCTAATTACGAAATTAATTCTTTAATAAAGCTCTAAACAAAAACATTTCAATCGATTAAATTGTGCGCGCAATTTTCTTCAAAATCATTTTGACATTTGGCATTTTACGAAGAAAAAACTAAACAAATAAAATCAATGTACAATCTCTGTAATCACAGTGTAATCACAGTGTAATCACAGTGTAATCACACTAAAATGAACAATGGTATCAAGTGAAACGAATCGAATTGGATAAAAAAGAAGAAAAATTTCAAGGGTATTATAACTAATAGAATAAAAAAATAATAAAAGGAAGAAGATGAAAATGGTGGTGGAGGGAGGTGGGGGATATAGGGGTGTTGATGGAGGTTGAACGGCCTCGTAACGCCTTGAAGAAGGAACGATCGAGACACGCTCGGGTTCTCCACCACCGACATTTAACCGGATTAGGAAGCCACTCGGAGAAACGAGCGTGCATGTCGCCCGCCCGACCGCCCGACCGCCCGCTCGCCCGATGTACTCCAGATACGAACTTGCATACATACTTTCAAACAAAAAAGACATACACACACACACACACACATACTTATCACAAGCATTTATTTTAGATACATTTATTTAAGTATGTGTGGTTAAATGTCGTCAGAGTAGAAGTGCACATTATAAGCAATAAGAAAACTTACACATGCACACCATATATAAGTTTCGTCAGTATAGAGGCCGGCAAACCCGGTAATGTCTAACACTTTGTGTTTTCACGATTTTTCTCTCTCTCTCTCTCTCTCTCTCTCTGTATCTTTTTATTTCTCTGCAAAGTTTGTAACGTTTCTTCCGCTTCCTGCGGTTACCCGCGGAAGCCGGACAACCGGTGCTACTTTTAGCGTAGGTGTACATTATAAAACCAATGAGAAAGAGAGAGAGAGAGAGAAAGAAGAAATAAAAGGTGACATATGAATTAAAAATATTGTACGTTGTTTTTTATAATTATCATAAAATCAATTTTTTGACACTTTAAGGACCGAATAGAAATCTGTCAGATTTACGCTTGGGATCGCACATAGTAATACATTTTCTATGTATTACTAAGGACATACATAAACTAGACTTAGCACCAATAGATCGT